TCTGTCCTCTTCATCCCCTTGTGCACCCCATCTCCCACCCAGATCCTGCAGCCCCATCCCTATCCCACTCACTGGCATCCTGTCCAGCACAATGAACCCCTCATTTTTGTCCCCACCCCTGAGCCTAAGGAAGTCCCCAAAATCCTCTAACCTTGGGACCCCAGAAAAGTAAATCTGACCTATGGGAAGGCCTGAATCTCAGTTCTCCCGGTCTCTTCCCCTTGCCCCGTGGGGCTGGAGTGCCAGAAGAGTGAGGTGTCTTAGTTGGGGGCCACATCAGGAGGGTTGGGGGTTTTTGAGGAGTCTTTTTTATTTTCACTTGTGGGTTCCCCAACTGATTTTTTTTTGTGGGTCAGTGTCTCCTAACCCACCGTCCCTCCTCCCCTGGCATAAATAAAGAGAACATTGAAACATTTTGTGTTGGACATAAATTAATATTTTACTTTATTTAAAATGAAGTTTGATAAACTAACATGAAAAAGTTAAAATGCTTATTCTGTTTGATAATTTAAATTAAACTGTTCTCCTTAGCTGCAGCTGGTTCAGAAAATATGGTCACTGTACGCAGCCTGTCCCTGACCTCCCACTGTCCCTTCTCCCCGGCACGCAGATCTGTAAATAGAAGTTAATAAGTTAAATCTTGGCATGCCACTTCTGAAAGGTTACCGACCCCTGCTGTAACTAAAGGAACTCAAGCCAATAATCAAAACCTGTTCTTGCAGAAAAAGAGCAACCCTGCTGTAAGTCAGACTGAGCTTTGTAACCAGTGCAGAAGTTAGAAAGGCGTTCCTAGGTGCTAGGGGCTTTCGCCTTCTTTTCATCACAAACAGTAGTATAGTAATGCCAACTCCAAGTATAGTACTCAAAAATCATGAGACTGTTAAAAATAATAAATACGTCGGGTTATTTTTATTTGGCTTTTGGGGCTTGAATCTTTTGGGTGCCATTAAGCCATGTTTTCTAGCTTTCTACATAACCAGGGTGGCTAGAAAGTTGGTGGTGAAGAAAGCTGAGATTCTCATGTAATAACATGACTCCAGTAATTGGAGCTTTAACAAAAATACCAAATATATTGAGACTCATGAAAAAAGTCAAAGGAGTGGACAACACTGCCTTGCGTGCCCAAGTATCTCAAATTAACTCTAGCTGGGATAATGTAAGGATCTTTAAGATTTTAATGTTTGTCCTTTTTGGCATTAAAAAGTTAAGATGCTGATAGCAATGTGATTACTAGTGCAATTTTAGGAGTATTAAATACTTTGTACTTCTTTGGTGAACTTCAACTGAGGATCTTCTTGTACAGTACCTAATTCAGTACATTTATCATTACAAATACCACTCTAGAGAAATAATACTGTTCCATACAGTAACTATGAAGTCTACAATTCATAGTGCTACAATTGTGCTGTGTGTAAATACGAAGGTTGTCACCCACAATTGCATTATATTTATTTTGCTGGAAAATGGCAGGTGAATCCATAGGAAGCACCATGGTTGTGGTTGCATGATGTGTAAAACTGCTTGTAATATGCCTTTGATCTTCAGAAGTCTGCACATGCCTTACATGACTTGAGCAAGCCCCCAGAGGGAGTTGTGTGAGGGTGGGGATTGGCAGTCTTACCATTCTATTCATACTCCATTAGATCCCATCTGTTCCTCTGGTATGTGCATACCTATACAATAGTGTTTCTCAAAGTTGTCCGCGAAACCACTTTCAGAAAGCTGCTTAACTGGCTGCGCCGGTGTGTCTATTTACTGGCACCACAGCCATAGAGCCTCACAGCTCCCATTGACTCTGGTTCACCGTTTGCAGCCAAGGGGAGCGCAGCCAGTTAGCAGCGTCTCAAAATGGTTTTACGGACGACTTTGAGGAAACACTACAATACAGTGACAGTAATGGTGCTCAAATGTTTCTTTCAGTACATCTAAGCCAGGTCTATACTTACCATACTGGAGATCAATCTTTTGGCATTCGATTTAGTAGGTCTAGGAAGGACCTGCTAAATAGAACATTGAAGGTGCCACCGGTTAACGCTGGTACCCCTTGATTCACGAGCAGTAAGGGAAGTTGACGAGAGTATTTGAGCCCGTCGATTTCCTATTATGGATACGGTGCCAAGCTTGTGCCGACTCCAGTTCCGTTATTTACATAGCTGTAGTTGCATGCCTTAAGCCGACCTTTTGAGTTTAGTATAGATCTGGCCTAAGGTGCTACTTTCTGCATAAAAAATGCCACATCCCTCTCCTTTCCTGATGACTGAGAAGTATTAAAATGAAGAGCTGTGATGGGCTAGAATTGCCAAAGTGGAGACATTAAAAATACGTTTCTATCCACATTTGTATTTAGGAAACCACAGTTACAGAAAGGCTAAGTCACTCACCACGTGGATTCTATCTGGATAATAGAGATGCTGCTTTATAGTAAAATAAATGTATACACATTCCTTTTCTTGCCATCAACTAATGGATTTTCAGAGACTATGTTCAAGAGACATAGGAGCTCAAGCAGAATTAAACATTCTTGTCTACATGTCTGTTCTCAAGCATTGAAATACATGTTGGGATCTCTCCTTGTGAGACTTCTGGAAAACCATTTTTTTTCCACTTCATTATTCTCTGTTAAGGACTACCAGGATATATTGGACATATTTAATATTCATTACATACCAAATTTAATATTTATTACATACATTCACTACTGCCAAAAGATTGTCTCTTGTCCAACTCCAAAACTGCCAGGATTTCAGTCTTAATTTATTCTGCCACCTTCTCAGCATGTAGAAGCCCTTCTAAAATCAATGGGGAGTTGCATGGATTTAGCAAGGAATAGAATTTGTGTCTGTAATTTCTAATAAACTTACTAGGAGCATGCTACTTTCCCCATTCCTTTTTGTAGTAACTCTAGTAAAGCAGAGGTCATTATTGCAAGGGTAAACCACAGTGGCTGTTAAGTGAACCAGTGTGAAATTTGCTTCTGGAGGCTCTGGCAGTAGATAGGATTAATTTATTATGGACTTCTGAGATCCTGTTATGACATTCTCTCTGTCTGATACACAGAAGGAGCTGGTTATTTTTAGCTCCATTGTAATGGTAGGATGTTTTGACAATATGGAAGAAACATTATATAATTAAAGGAGAAGAAATGAAAGGTTCAGACAGATGGAATAAAGCATGAGAATATAATGTAACCTGATTTTTTAAATTTCTTGCCATCCCCCCAGCTCTTGCTTTTATTCTTATAATTAATGAGCTTTGGAATTAGGCAAGTTTTTTATGTCAAGCTAAGTGAAACTAATAAATAAAAAGGGAGTGAGCTACATTAACTCCTCTAAGGTTTATGGAGACGATTGAATACCTAATAGATTTATGAGTACATATCTCATTAGCTTTCAATGGGACCTTTCCTTCTAAAGCACTTAGATGATATTGAAAATTTTGTTTTTTTGCTTTTGCTTAATTCAGGTTGAATATATGCATATCCTCCTATGTCTCTTCCATATGAGCCCTCTAGAGATTATTGTGTGATTTCTTTGATGACCAGAGAGAGAGAAAATATCCATATAGGATGAAATTAAGAGCGTCCTCCTAGAAAAGCCTATATATAGGAAAGAAGTTAGGAGAAAATTATTATTCTTTCATTTTTTTCTGTGTTTACAGATTTGACACATGTAGGGGAGGCTCATCATGGAACACTTTTAAAAAATATGGTGAAGGGGCTCAACCAAAGTTTGTTTCCATTGCACAGGGGCTCAATAGTTTGCACATGCTAGATTTTATTTATGATGTAGGAGCAGATTTCAGAATATCTTAGCTTCCCTTTAGGTGCCAAAATAAGTAGCCAGTGGATGTCTAGCACAGGATGCTGAGTACTCTTGCACATATGGCCAGATTTGTGACTGTTGAGAGAATTCTGAAAATCTGCCCCCATGTGCATTATTGAAAATAAGTCCTTTGAAAATCACAGCCAGTGTGTTTGAAAAGGCACTAGATTAAAATGCATTTATGTAATTGCTATGAATGGCACATTATCAATTAGAGGATTTGCATCTGAAACTTTGCTGCAGTTGTACATCTAATTCATAAGAATCTTATGTATCATTACTGTTTTGGTTAATTATTATTTGATAATATATAGATAAAATAATTGTAAGCAATATGTGGCCTGTTTGTGAATGAGGTAATTGTATTCAGAAATGCAATATGGACAGAAGAGCTCACTGCTTTTCACAACAGAAGAAACTAATTAGTATTTATGTTTTTGTTCTCCTAAAGACAGCAGCATTTATCAGACCTTTTAATATCTGGCTTGCAATTGGAAGCATATTGGTTCTGTAATGGAAGATTTTTACTGCACAAGATTTGTTGTGGATACCCATTAGTGAACCTGAGTGCATGCAAAAGGTGTTATGAGTCACCTAATGCAAGCAGGACATTCAAGCACTGGAGTCTTAATATTTTTAAGGGAAATAAACATGAATACCAACAAGTACTTTTCATCTGTTGACCTCAAAAACTTCATAAAGGTGATTAAGCATAATTTTGCAACAGGGAAAGTGAGGCACGGCAAAGTGACTTGTCCAAGCTGCCCAGTGAGAGATCTGAGAAAAGAACTGAGATCTCTTGATTCCCATTTCATTGCAATTTTCAGTGAACCCTGTTTCCTCTTTGATTTCAGATTTAATTTGGTGCTAGTGCTTCAAACTTCATTTCTTTAGCTGGTACTTAGTCCTTTGGCCACTTAAAAAAATATTGGTGGTTAAAGCAATTGTTCTTAATAACCTTTGTAAACTGCACTCAGATTTTTACATGGGAGTGATGGAGTTAGTGCTAAGAAACCCATTAACAATTAGGGTGGTTTTGTTATGCTAATTGTTTAGTCACATGCTTCACTGTGACTAGGAGACATTTTCCTCCACTATTCTTACACTGTTCAGTTTGCAAACGCTTTTTTCATTGGCTTGCAACTTATTTACAAATAGTTTGTATTTGTGCTGTTTCAGGATTCACAACTGGTAATAGAAGCATTTAAATCAGGATTTGAACCACCAGGAGATATTGACTTTGAAGACTTCACTCAGCCAATGAAACGCACTGTCTCGGAAACCAGCCTTTCAAATTCCAGAGGTGATGGAAAATCTGAGCCCAAGTTTGGTGGCAAATCCAAGGGCAAATTGTGGCCATTCATCAAGAAAAATAAGGTACTGACTTTCAGACTTCATCGTCAGTGTTAGTATGTTTGTAGCCTTTAATGGCTTTCTTGTTTTGTAATCCTGGCAATTAATTTAAGACTAAAAGAAACAAACTTTAGTTTCAGAAAACTAAAAATTGATGTCCTATTATGGTGTTTTATTATAGTCTTTTTTGTTATATTTTACTTGTAAGATATTTTTATTTCTATATTTCTTAAATTGTGTTGTTCTTTGTTTACTTATGTTTTTAATTGTCTTTGCCATGGTCCATTTCTGTTTCTAATTCAGATTGGGAATTGTGTGCATTTACACAGTGCTGTGCATGCTAACTAACTAACATTGGTACTTTTGGGCAGCTTCTCTCCAGTGTCATTATTCTGATACTTCTAAAACTTTCCTTAGCTTTTTATTTTGCATGACCATTTCAGTCTGTACTGTGGGTACTGCAGTTGGGGAAGCTGGGGGTGGGGAATGGTGGTACCCCATCCTTTTGTAGCACATCTAACTGAGCCTTTACAGTGCAGCTGATTTTTTTAACTCATATTATCATTTATATCCATTAAACTCGTCTCTCCATTGTCATATTTTACACTGTGATGCATGGCAACATTTATCTGGGATTATTGGTCTGTATCAGGATGACAAGAAAAATTCTGCTTTCAGTTACACCAGTGTAAAACCAGAGAACTCCGCTGAGTTAACCTCATTCTCTGTTGCCCTTCTCCTTCCCTAGCCATTTACAGGAATTGCAAAGTGAGAGCAGAACACTAATGAATCAGAATGGTGTATTCGCTCTGAGCTGATGTAAATGATCACACAAAATGCAGGGCAAGGGAAGATTGACTCCTCTGATGTTTACACTCATATAACAGCAGAATCTGGCCTAATACCTCTCTTGTAAATTTGTAGCTTCATTTTTTTTTAAATAAGTGTGGTGTGCATAGAGAAAGATAACTTGAAAGCAGGAAGAATGAAACGTTGTTTTCCAGATAATAGGAATGCTACTGGGCACTAAGGTACCTTCTTAATTTGATCCATGTAAATTCAGGTATTTGAAAGATATATACATATGCATTATTCTGACCAGCCCACAGAACTAGCACAGACTAACGTATGGGAATATAGTTTGCATGTAAGAATCTGCATGAGCTTTCTGTCGAATTATTCCATGTTACCTTTCCATTGCATTACTTACTAAAACTCCCATTTTTATCACATTCTTCTTTTAACACAAATCTTGAACGCTGTTTTCCTTCCCTCTTTTTTGAACCATGGCTTTAAATATTTAATTATTTGTTTCAATTACTTTCCTGAATTTTGAATATTGTTTTTGATGCTTATTTCGTTTTGTGTTTTTTTTATCTTTTTATTTTGGTTTTTTATTCTATCACTTCTCCATCTCTTATACGTAGCTTATGTCCCTTTTAACATCCCCCCATCAGCCCCCTCCTCCTCCCCCTGCCTCTGCCTCACCCTCTGCTGTTCCCAACGGCCCCCAGTCTCCCAAGCAGCAAAAGGAACCCCTCTCCCATCGCTTCAACGAGTTCATGACCTCCAAACCCAAAATCCACTGCTTCAGGAGCCTAAAGCGTGGGGTAAGTTCTCCTCTAGATACCTCTTGCTGTCTGTCTTTCTTCGCTTTTATTGCACGTTCTGTTACGTAAAATCTTGTTTTGTGAATGAAGCCATTGTGTTTTACCATAACATACAGACACACCCAAAAAATCCAGTGCAATGAAGTTATCTGTAGTCAATACCCCCACAACGAAACCACAAAAACAGAGTCCTGTTTGAAATGACAGATTTCTCTTTTGACAGAGGGTTGTTTTCCTTTTCCAAAAGGTAGTGGGGGAGATGTAATATTAAATCTCTCTTCACAGAGAGACAAAAATATGTACCTTAGCAAGTTAGCATTAAGACATGTAGAAGTTAAGTGAGAGTTTGTCCATGATCCAATGATCCTGTGGAAAAATTGGGGAAGAACACAGTTCTCCTGACTTTTACTCTGTTGGACCATGCTCCTCCTCCCTCCCTCGCCCCACCAGATACTGGAGCTTGAAGAATTGTATCCCAGCATTTCTAAATATGTCTTTTCTGGATGTTTCCCATTGAACCAGCAGGTTCTGTTGGATTCTGGACTGACTTTCACTCCCCATAACTATGAGAGAGGATGTACACAATTTAGATTCCGTGCAGTGTGTAAGAACTTTATATCGCTACACCAGTGTTTCTCAAAGTGGACTGTGGCCACAGTTTATGTAAAGGTGGCTCCCCTTGGCTGTAAACAGCGAACCTGAGCCAATGGGAGATGCGAGGCGCTGAGGCTACGAAGCCTTTATATAAACAAACTAGAGTGTCTGGTTTGCAATTTTCTCAAAGTGGGCTTGTAGGCCTGTGGCCAACTGTGAGAAACACTGCTCTATAGGACTGTAATAGTGTAGTCAGTTAAATGATTAAGCGATGAGCTAATGCTTATCGGTTAACACTATCTACTACACGCAATCTTGCCCCCCCCAGCAGCCCTGCATATAAAGTATTTTGGAAGCCAGTGCAGTGGCACCTACTCCTGCTGCAGCTCTGCATTTAAAGAACTTGAGAGTCGGTGCATAAGCATCGCAGCAGGGGTAGGTTCCAGACCCAGCACAAACCAGGACTGAGCCAGCGTGCTTGCATACCAGATCTCAAGCTCGTTTAAATGCAGAGCTGCTTATCGGTTAATTTTGTGCCCGACAAAATTTTTGTCAGCTACACGCTGACCCAATTGCATGCTTCCTAACATCCCTACTGTCTACACCCACGGGGGCTAAGGACAAAAATAAAATCTCTTTGATGTTGCATTGTGCTGCTGCTGCTTTGCACTGTGCTACCAGTGCAGAGAGGCCCTTAAGCAGTTGCCATTGCCATGGGAGTTTCATCCTACTGGTAGGTCAATCCTTCAGCGACCCAGAACTGATGTTGCAGGTCCTGTCTTTCCTTCCCCCTTGCTGATAGCAGCATAATGAAAATGACTAGGTCTTCCCTTCAGCCAAGTAATCCCTGCCTGACTTATTGGCCTTTTGGTATCATTGGCAGCATGCATACATTAGAAACCTTGGACTCTGGCTCTCTAACTTATTCCAGGCAGTCAACCCAACTTGCAGAAAGCCACTGTCGCACTGCCCTGTCCTGAGAAGAGCACAGTGCAACTCGGCCAAAGCCACGAACCTAGGTTAACTTATATTTGTGCACACAGATGCTGATGTTTATAGGGCTATATACACATAAGAACCTAGTTACATATCTGGAGAGAGAGAAACAGAACTAGGCAGTAAACTGTAGAGAAATGGGCATAATAAAACAACAGGCCTGATTCTGTGTCTGTAATCTTACCTGTGCTTTCAGTGGACTACTTACAGGAAACCGAGTCTGTATTTGTAAACTGATGTTTGGGGCATTTATATTGAGCTAAATATTAATCGCATTAGAAGTCTTTGTAAAGCTTCTGTAAATTTTCAAATGTCACATTCAAGGCAGACTATTTTTTTCTTTGAAAATGAAGACTTGTCTGTTATTCTACCATGCTATTGTGTTGTGCCATCAGTTTTTAAGCATGCTAAGAAGTAGATAGCACAGTCTAACCCTTAGTTCTTAGGTAATTTTGTAGGGATTATTTTCCTTTCTAATAGAACATTATAGAAAGCAACTATAACTGTTAGCTTGCTTTACAAAAACTAAAAACTGACTCAGTAAGGAGGAAACAGCATATAAAGGGCCAAATTCTGCTCTCCACAGGAAATCCCATTGGTACTTTGATCCAGAAGATGATGATCAGTAAAATTGGGGATGATCTGTATAGAGACCTTCAATATCATATAATTACAAAGAAGTGTTTGGAGAACTTCAGTGCAACCCCCATCCTAATCACTGCATCTGGTCACAAAGAGTAAATAATTTTTTAAAAAATCTTTCAAATAGCATATAAAAAAACCTATATAATGCTCTGTTTGGTAGATGTCATCTTGACAAATTTACAGTTCAATGTAGTACTAAAAATCCATTTCCCCATCAAAAGACCACTGGAAATCTGAAAGTTTCAAAATTTGTCAGAAAATAAATTCTATAAATGTAGCCACACATGAGAGAAGTTCTGTAATTTTACACAAACATTTTTCCTAATGACTTCTCAGGGAGAAGCTTGTTCCTTCAGTTCTACATTGGAAACTTTATTTGTAGCGTGTCTCTAAGAGAGCTGAATAGTAATAGAGAGGTAGCGGTATTAGTCTGATCTTGCTAAAACAAAAGGAAAAACTTTGTAGCACTTTAAAGACTAACAAGCTCATCACCTATTAAACCATCTTGTTAGTCTTGAAAGTGCTACATAGTTTATCCTTCTAAGAGAGCTGGGATTCTGATAGGCTTGCTCATGTTGAGTAGCTACTTCCTCCAAGATTTTAGCTCAAGAGATTTAAATGGGACTACTCGTAGAGTGAGCAAGAATATAACAGTCTGGCTTTGTGAAAGCAACAGAGTAGTTCACTAAACAGTGTTCCCAAACCGATGTTAGGTGTTTTTAGCTTGTAAAAATGTCTTTTTTTTTACACCACACAAAAGCCCAATGAGCACTTCACAAATGTATATTTCCAATGTACATATTCCTATTTAGTAAATATTTCGCTGTCTAAGCAATTATGACAAATTACTTTAAACATTTTGTTCATGAAATGTCATTATACACTATGACAGTGCTAGGAGAGCATCTATTCAAACTTTAATGCCCCTCAGCCAAATTCACTCATCTTTGCATGTGTATATATATCTGCCAAACTGAAGTTTCCAATTTATGCATCTGACAAAGTGGGTTGCAGCCCACAAAAGCTTATGTCCAAATAAACATGTTAGTATTTAAGGTGCCACGGGACTCCTCATTTTTGCTGAATCAGACTAACATGGCTACCACTCTGTAGCTTTCTTTTGGTTCACCCTAATTGTCCACTGATGCATTCATTTAAAAAAAATTTTTTTTTGCTAAAGCAAGTGGATTGGGAGCCACTGGCCCACAGAAAAATCAATTGGGAGCCACACAAGTGAGAGGCAAACCCTCACTGACGTAGTCACCAACTGAGAAGGAGAAAGACTCTCCCCATATTCCCCTCGCACACCTGAACATAGGGGCCCAGGCTAGTAGATTTTGTGTGCTCCAGCCCCACAGAGAGCTGGCAAGGGGCTGGAGTGCCAGTGTGGGCTCCCCAATGTTGGGGGAGTGAGCCCCGACCCTTGGGGGCTGGATCCAGGCAAGGCAGGGGCTGAATCTGGCTCTCGGGCCTTAGGTTCTCCACCCCTGTTCTGAAGCCGTGCTAAATCTTTGGCTATTCTGTATTTCACTTCCTTTTGTCATTGGCTATTTGGATGTCTGTACGTAAATAGATGTTTTTCCCTGTCTGCTTCAGTGATAGCACAAGACAACATTCAAAACATTTTATATTCTCCTGTGGGGCGAATTCAGATCACTTTCTCCATGTACAAGTGCTGCGCGAAAGAGGCAGTTAATGTGGCAGGCTGCTCTAGTTCATAAAGTCCATGTCCTATTGACCTTTGGTGGGCAATAATTTTTGATGGGAGACCACTTCAGGAATTTGATAAGTAGTCGAGGGCTGCACTCTTCCATTATATTAATGGAAGAGGTCTGGGATGGAGATTGGGTGCAGAAGGGAATATGGGGTAAGGGATTGGGGTGTGGGATCTGGGAGGGAGTTTGGGTGAAGGAGGGGATTGTGACCTGAGGCAACGGACTGGGGTGCAGGAGGTGGTGTAGGGTCTTAGAGGGGAATGTGACCTAGGGTAGGGGTGCAGAGGTTTGGGTTGTGATCTGGGATAGGAGATTAGGGTGCAGAGTCTGGGAGGAGTATGGCTGCAGGAGAGGATTCTGACCTGGGGGAGGGAGAGCAGGGTTGGGGAGGGGGTTATGACCTGGGGCAGAAGTGCAGGAGGGGTGTAGTCTCTGGGAAGAGGCTGTGATCTGGGGTAGGGGTCCAGGGTCTGGGAGGGGATTGTGACCTAGAGCAGGAGTGCAGGAGGGGTGTAGGATCTGGGAGCAGATTGTAACCTGGGTCAGTACTGCAGCGGGTGGTGGGGTAGGATCTGGGATGGGGTTGTGACCTGGGGCCAGGAGGGCAGGAGGGTGCAGGGATTTGGGTTGTGACCAGAGACAGCAGATTGGGATGCAAGGTCTGGGAGGAGTTATGATCTGAGGAGAGGTGTTGGAGGGGATGCTGTGTCTGGGAAGGTGTATGGAAGCTGGGGAAGGAGTGCAGAAGGTTTGGGTTACATGGGGTAGGGGTGCAGAAGGGGTTCAGAGAGTTGGAGGAGGGAGGGGCTGGGGTGCCAGAAGCAGGCTCTGGCTGGGAGACCTTACCTGGGTGGCTCCCAGCCAGCAGCCCAGCAGGTTCCTTAGCCAGGGTCCCTGTCTTCCATGCTCCTGTATGTGTTCAGAGGAGCTGCAGGAGCCATGTTTGCTGCTGCGAGCCAAGAGTGAGGGAGGAGGGGAACTTCACATGCAAACAGGCAGCTGCTATTGGCCAGAAACTGGCCAATGGAAGCTACTAGGGTGCGGACAGCC